TCAGCAGTGTCATCAGGTTATGTTACTAGTTGGGTTCAGTAGAGTAGTAGAATACTCTGTACAAGGAAAAAGTGTTGGGTGTCCATATTGCATCCACCAAAACTTTCTTATTCCTTGTGTAAAAAATTAAAATTTAAATGGCACAAACTGGGTGTCAAACTGGGTGTATGGCTCTTGTTCTCTTCTATAGATATATTCTGCGCACTCATATTTAACAAATATGTCTCTCCATATTGAGAAATGTAAATTGATCTTTTGAACTTATCTTTAAACATAAAATAATATGAACTAGTAATGATAATATTACATTTCAATAATCAGAATTCAATAATCAGTGTAATACTCTGCATTCCACGTACCTTTTGGATAGTTCTCTAACCAGTGTTTGCTGAAGGCACAGTAATTTTGAAATGTATTGTTGTTACATGTTGAACTTATTGAACAGGCATAGTTTGCACTGAAACCAGAAATCCACTTTTAAATGAATACCCAAACCAAAATCTGGATTCATTTCTGATTAAGGCCAGAGCAAAATTTCACCAAAATCTGAACTCTTCCTGTATAATGCTCACCTGGTGCAGATTACAAGGTGTATGTAACTTATTTTAAGGCTTTGCAAGGGTTGTAGCAGGGAAATTGGGTAGGACAATGAACAGCCTTAGGTCTTACTGAACTTTCAGTGAAAGCTAAGTCTGATTAGCATCTCACAGATGATACTTGCTGCACTGCACAATTAGACTGTAGATACTTGGTGTCCTTTTTGTCTGCTCTCTGACTTGTGTTCCTTCTCTGTGTTTCAGGACGAGTTGGGCTATGGAAAGACATCTTCACTGTTTCAATGAATGAGAAATTTGATTTAGTGTATAAACAGAAGATGGGAAAATGTGACCTTACATTTGATTTTTATTTATAAAAAATGCATGCATATGATATCCAAATATAGCTAGAAGTGCTTTATGCATTCATTTATTACCTGCTGGACAAACTACTGTAGCTATCATGTGTAACGAGATTTAAAGAAAGAAAAACAATCTTAAGTAAACCATATCAGATACAATTATCTTTGATCCTAAACAGCTGTTTATCTTCTAGTATTTTAATCCTTTGTCCACATGCAAGAACTTCCTAGACAATACTAGAATATTCAGCTGTTACGGAATATATTATATACGTATAAGGTATGTATCATATATGCAACTAGAATGTACACTTTTCAGCCCCACATTGATTATTTAATGTGTTTTATAAAAGCTTTTCACTAGAACCTAAATAAATGTCCGTAAACCAAATAAAAAATAATTTCAGAGGGAAACAAGTAACAGGCCAAATCTGTATGCTAGAATGATCTCAGGGGTTAATCGTCACATTTATTTTTATAGCAGGTATATCAAGTATAAATAAATCCCATTCCAAAATAGTAACAGATCAAAGTGGGGTTCACATTAGGTTCTGCACACCCTTATCTGTATCATTTGAGTAGGTTCTGTGCACTGGCGTACTCTGCAAGACAGGCCTTGTTATGAAATACAGCTGCGATTGTCACTCTAATCCCAAAACCCACCCATGCTTTCATGGATGACAGCACACAGCTGTTTTCCTGATGGATGAAGTTCAGCTCTATGCCGAAGGTCAGCAAACAGAAGCTCCTTAAGCCCCCTTCTCTAATTCAGTCCCTCAAAATGGGGCTTAAAAGCAAGGTGTCTGGTGCAGGGTCTTTCTTTAGGTCTCTGACCCATATCACTTTCTTGTGTAGACACTAGATACAGTAAGAGAAGAAAAGGTGCTGGATATCCTCTAGTTCCACTAAAAGTTAAGGGCACTTAGCACTGTTGATGGTTTGTGCTACTGGATTCCATCAGACCTAAGTGGAAGATGAATATACATGCCAGTGTGAGCAGACAGAGGAAACGGCAGCACTGAAGGAAGAGAGTTTAAAAATATGCCACCAGGTGGGAGTATTGCACAAATATTCATGCAGAATATAGTTTCAGTAATGACTGCTCTGGATTACAATCAGGGTTCAAGTTTATTTCTGTATTTTTTTTATTCTCTACAACAGGTACACAAACAGCCTGAAGCAGGCTACTATCACTATAAAACTCTCCAGAATTATTTTATTGTTCTGTTGGGTAATGAGATTTATGCTTTTTAGGTTCTCAGCTGCAGGAGGCCCATTTTTGCTAGTCAAATATTCAGGCTTACTGAAAGCTGTGAAGAAGGATTAGCAGATTTTTAGTGTTTCAATCCTGTTGGGAAACTAACTGTCAGTTCAGCAACTGGCAAGTGGTATAGCATGATGTGGCTTGACAGCACTTTTCCTTGTATATTTGTGAGTGAAAATGCTTTCAGTGAAATTTTATTTCTATTTTTATATTTTTAGTACTGTATGAATATTAAGCACTACACATTATACTTCTGTGCTTGCTTGCTTATTGAATAAAAGATGTGTTCCATGCATTGTGGTTTGCTCATTTCCTAGACCTCCTACTCAGGCCAGGTAGTCTTAGTACAAGCCAGAGCTCCTCTCCCCTACCCACACCTTCTAACTTATGCCAGAAGAACCACAGAAAGATGGTATCAACTCAAACCTCTCTGACTGAGCACCTCTGCAAGAGTACAATAGAGAGCACAGGCCCTCTACAAGGTTTTCTTCCCCTCATGCTGGTATTGACCGCATCCCATGGCAATAGGTTCTTCATCTAAATACACACTGTATGAAAAAGGACTCATTTGCTTAGAAGCTAGCATTCTAGCACCAGATAGTGTAATTTGGTGTTTCTTTGTTCTTGTATTGTGGCAGATGATACACAGCCACTGTTCAATCCACACAAGATTTTACACACTTTTATCTTCCACCTCTTAGGCAACTCCATGCTGAGGAGTCCTACTAGTCTCTGTCATGCAGGAGACCAGAAATCCACAAACTACAACAGGCTGCAAGAAGACAGGAGTAGGAGAATTCCTTCTTGCTGCAGAGGAAGACAAACTCTCCTCACAGTTCCTGCAGATTAGACTTGGAAGAAAATTTCATTAGCACCAAAAATCTACTTAAGTCACTTAATCCTGAGGATGTATGAGCAATACATCCTTACCAGCTGCCTAAAAGGCTTCACAGAATCACAGAAT